AGCAGGAATAGTGCCCGGGCAGGATGGGATCTGCTGCAGGAGTGGGATTCACCCGTCCTCCAACTGCCTCCTTCCCGAGCAGGGTTCACATCCAGGGAGGCTGTAACTCATGCCAGTTAGCCTTGTAGTAATTACTGCTAACAGCTTGTCTCTGTGTCTCGTTGCAGGTCTCCTGCACGCAGGTTTCTGTGCAGGGCAGTGGGCACAGGGCCTCCCTGAGGCTCCCTGCTGAAGCCAGACAGCGAGGGCCTGGAGCCCAGAGCTGAGAACTTCCCCCAGTGCCCCCCAAGGCACACAGGAGTGTGGCCCATTAAAGGCCAGCTCTGCTCAGGTTCCCTCTGCTACAGGGAGTTTGGCCGAGGCGTAAGATCTAATTAACTGACCACATGGAAAGAAAAGTCTTTGTTAATTAGCAGCCAGTTACGCTGGGCTTTGGCAGAGGCTGCAGGTGTCGAGTGGAGCCCGGCGCTTGGGCGGGGCCTGCGGGTGTGGAGGGCGCCCGGAGCCACAGTGTGGTGGAGGCTGCAGCCAGCAGTGCCCGTTCCTCCAGCCCTCACCAAGCTGGCACAGCCCCGTGCCCTGGCTGCGGTTCAGTCCCCACCCCCCATCCTCCCAGCACACCAGCCCCACGCGAGGCCCCACGGCCCCCAGGAGCACCCGGAGCTGTGCCACCTCCTCTCCCGTACCTTGCTCTCCAGGATCTTCCGGAACCTGGACTCCACCGCGCTGTAGAAGAGGTTGTAAAGCCACCTGCAGAGAACAGAGAGGAGCTGTCCCTTCTCCAGCTCAGAGCCTGCTGCGGACGTATGTGCCCAGGGCAGGGAGACACGAGAGACCTGGGGAACACCATTCCCATCCCAGTTTGGTGTCTGGCCTTGCCTCAGGGTTTACATCTGCAAACAGCTGCTTGTAAACCCCATGCAGGTCTAGTGACTGCCTTAAATCTCCCCTAAATGTGCAGCCACAGCAGGACAAATTCAGGCCAGATTTAAGTTCGCTCAGTTGCACATCTGGATGAAAAGAGGCCAGAGGCAGCTGACTAGCAGTGTGCCCGTGTGGGCAGCCCGTGGGCAGAACGGGCAGCCTCCAAGGGACTGCAGAGATGCCAGCATCTTACTGGTTGCAGCAGGAACCATAGAATCATAGAATCATAGGGGTTGGAAGGGACCTCGAAAGATCATCCAGTCCAACCCCCCTGCCAGAGCAGGGTCACCTAGAGTACATCACACAGGAAGGCGTCCAGGCGGGTTTTGAATGACTCCCGTGCAGGAGACTCCACAACCTCTCTGGGCAGCCTGTTCCAGTGCTCCAGCACCCTCACAGGAAAAAAATTTTTCCTGATATTCACCTTGAACCTCCTATGCTCCAATTTGCACCCATTACCCCTTGTCCTATCACAGGTCATCACTGAAAAAAAGCTTAATTCCATCTTCAACCATGTTGCCAGGGCAGCTGGGCAGCACGCAGAGGTTTCAGGCCTCACAGTGAAGCCACGTACCCAAACTTGCCCGAGAAGTGCACCCGGACTTCGGAGATGCGGGTGCTGCAGTCCGAGGTGCTAATGGTGGGTTTCCCCGAGGTGTCACTGCCCAGCTTCAGGTCGATTTTGATGTAGACGTTCTCCGCCTTCAGGTCAAAAGAGCCGTGGTCCCGGCTGCAGGGAGAGGGGGATGAGAGAGGGACATTCCTCAGCGCCAAGTCCTGGGGAAGGGACCCCAAATCAGCTTGGGGATGGATCTGTCTGGCCTAGGTCAGTCTCTGCCTTGTAGTGAGCACCCAGAGGAGACCAGGAAAGTTTATAAACTCAAGGAAACCTGATTTAACTGGAACATAAACTATGAGAGGGGACGTTTAAGTAGAGGATTGAGAGCAAGTAGGGGAGATAGAAGAGACAGGAGAGCTCTCACGTAGCTTCTCCATCTTCTGCCTTGTTCTCCTCCCACACTGTGTTATCCATCTCAGGGGCTGTATGAGCAGCACTGACCCCTGCCCACCTGGCTCAGGTCTGTCCCCGCAGGTGCTCAGGAAGGTGCCCCCCCCAGTGCAAACAAGTGGGAGGGACTGTCCCTCACACCCCAGGTACCACAAGAGAGGAGATGGCTCCCACGTTGTCTCCACGTAGTCTCCCCAACCACTTGCCAGCAGGATAAATGCTGCCTGGCCAGCTCTGAGGGCTCCCAGCATGGAGGGAGACCTGGCTGAGCTCCCCCAGGGTGGGGGGCTGCATCAGGAACAGAGCAGCTGCAGCCCAGCTGCAGGAAAGGCAGGTCAGCACATCTGGAGAGAGCAAAGCAACAGCTGCCCAGACACAAGAGAGAGGGAGAGGAAAAAAACCTGTGCAGAGCAAGAGAGGGAGACAGAGCAAAGCACCCGAGCAGGGAGGGGGAGCTGGGGGGGAGCTGGGCACTCACATGAAGTAGAACTTCACCCTCCAGCTGCCGTCCAGCTCGGCAAAGGCGTTGGAGATGGAGACCTGCAGCCCCACGCTGGGCACCAGGGAGATCCGCGAATACGGCAAGTGGAAGATGCGAAGGTCCAATCTGAGAAGGAAGGGAACCCAAGGGAGAAGTCACATTACGGGGGTGCCTCAGCCCCGGGCACACAGCTGGGGGGGGGAGCAGGGCCACTGTGCCAGCAGTGTCCCCAGCTCATCGTCCAAAGCGACCCTTCGGAAACGGGGTCCCTGCACCCCCCCCAGATGGCAGCTTGGCAGGAGCAAAGAGGTGAAACAGGGCATCGGGGAGCTGGGATCCCCACAGGGGTGTGGGAGCAGAGCCACCTCCACCGCCCGGGCTTTGACTGAGCAAAGACTGCCTGCACCCAGAGTGCCATCACCCCAGGTCCCTCTGTCCCCTTCAGGCAGCGGGGCGAAGCAGGAGCATCTCTGCCCACATTGAGGACAGGACCAACATCTCTAGGAGCTGTGGAGGGAACAGGGTGGTCCTCACTGCTCGGGGGCCTCCCCATCCTCCTCCACCCCTCCAGCCCCTCACATGGGTTGGGGGGTCAGCGAGTTGCTCCAGGACACTGGCAGTGCTCACCTGGAGAGCTCATAGTGCACCTTCCCCACGTGTCGGACACGGAAGTCACCCGAGATCTCCGGCAGCTTCAGCTGGGTCAGCTCCTTCTCCAGGAATGAGATCCCCTGCTGATGGGCTGCAGGGGCAGACAGAGCATCAAGGACTGAGCACGCACCGGGCATGCAGCGGAAGGGTTAAAGGAAACACCCAGGCGATGCCCTGGCTGCTTTCCACCTCCCAGGCTATCTCTAAAGCTAATCCGGGTGCACAGAGCCCTGTGAGCACTCAGGCTGCCTGGCATCTGCCTGCTGGCAAGCCCCAGGGTAGGTGTTGGCCAG